TATCACCGCGCTCAGCACGCGTCCGCGAAAACTTTCGCACAACGTCGATTATCGGATCTCACCTTCCGACTGGGGCCCGGCGCAGCCTGGGGGTAGACAGACGGGGCAAATGGAGGGGAAGAAGAGCTTGGGGAAAAGGGGACGGGGGTGATGTTGGAAATTTCTAAAATTTTCAGAAAAATTCCCCAAAATTTCCAGAAAATAACGGAAAAGTCTGAGAAATTCTCTATTTTCCCAGAAAATTTTCCGTTTTTCCTGAAATTTCCGTGAATTTTTGCGGAAACTTTCCTAGGCTCTCAGCGCTGCATGCACACGTAAGGCAGGAAGCGGGGATAAATGTTGGGGTCAAGTTATTCTGGCAAACGTGACGACTGCTGTTCAAACACTCTGACCGTCACATAAACGACTGTGACTCTTGTATTGGTCTTGTTTAAATGTGACACAATTCAAACACTGTTAAAGAAGAATAATTGTGATTTCCTAATACTTAAACGATACGCAAGCAAATGTGAAATCACAACACTCCTTTGTAGTCAAAAAGTGTGCATTTTGCTATCCAACTTGGAAATACTTCTGAACCAATCGCAATAATTCGAGGGGTGGACGACTGGGCGGCTCCTGTGTACAAGCCAAAATGTACTCCAGGTGTTCTCCGATTGTACTCCGACTGTACTCCGTGTACTCCGGCTGTTTTTGTCGCAAGTTCTCCGCGTACTCCGACTGTACTCCGGGTGTACTCCGGTGTACTCCAGGTGTACTCCAGGTGTACTCTGCGCGCTCCGACCGGCAATACTCAGTGTTCTCCGACTGTACTCCGTGTACTCCGTACTCCTGTGTACACGAAAAATTCAAGTCGCGCACCCCTCGCAATAATTTCTGTAAGGTATCAATTTTTGACAGGGAAGGCAAGTTGTGATTTCACAAGAGTTTCTGGCACTTTTTTTCAAAATTAATTCTTCGTGAAAATTTGACTTTTTTAACAGTGCATTGAACTGCATGCGACATCCACCGTATCTAAACAACAGCGTGAGTCATATCTTTTACACGCCATCATATATCTCTACTGGATACCAAACATAAAAAAAGGCAAGTCTAAAACGACTATTCCTCCAAAAAGCTACGTCGAATTATTTGTGTGTGGCCACGACTTCATCGTAAAAGGGCGTATCGAGCGATGCTCTTTTCTCTTCCTCCAGCTCATTTTCTTATTTACGGGTTTTCTGTTTGGAGAGAATATCCGGCAGGGCGTGGCGGGGCGTGGCGGGGCGTGGCGGGGCGTGGCGGGGCGCGGTGGGGCGTAGCAGGGCGTGGTGAGGCGGGGCGGAGGGAGGGCCGTGCCAAGACACCCTCCCTTTTGTTAGCAGCTCCTCCGAGTGTTCCCGATGCCAAATGGCTGACGCCGCAAGGAAAAAGGAGAGGAGAGAGAGAGGGGGGGGGGGGGGGGGGGGGGGGCTGCTTGCTTGCGTCGAACCCCGGCTCGGCTCCGCACAGGCCCGGCTGCGCAAGCTCAATTTGGATGGTGCCCTGACGAAAATACCGTGATTTTTAGACAGTCTCCTAAAGACTGGCTCTACGAGAAAGAAAAGCCCCCCCCCCCTTTTCTCTCTCTCTTCCATATATAGCATAGGGCAGGCAGCACGGCGGTGGCGGCGGAGGGTGTTTTTCACGCCAACGCTGAAATTACCGGAAATTGCCTCGAATATTGTAATGACTAAATACTCGGAGTAATATAAGCATACGCACTTTTAAATCCCTGCAAAGCGATGCTCTCCATAGGTGCTCTGCAAATTGTGCAGGATTTGGATGCTTCGTAACTATAAAGCATTCCTTTGCGATGTCATTTTGCAGCATGCAAAGTATTTAATCTCCGCAACTTGAGAAGCGTTTTGGAAGCTCAAGTGTGATACAGTCTAACAATAATAAATGAATTACCACGAGTATCACACTTAAAACTGAAGTAACATACATGTATCCGAGGGGGAAATCACTTGGGTTCGTAGTGTACGGGCTAATTCATGGTATTTCTCATGCCATTTCGCTTATTTCTCCTGTCATTTCGGCTATTTCTCGCCTATTTCGGATTATTTCAGAGTATTTCGCGGTATTTCGGAGTATTTCAGGGGTATTTCCCGACTATTTCACCGACTATTTCGCGTCTATTTCGGGTCTATTTCGCCTTTATTTCGCTCTTATTTCGGACCATTTCGGGGGAAGGTCGTCGTGTCCGTGCAACAACATCCTATCTGTTTCGCTCAGCCGCAAGACCATCCTATCTGTTTCGCTCAGCCACAAAACCATCCTATCTGTTTCGGTATGCCGCAAGACCATCCTATCTAGCTCGGCGCGCGTTCCGAGAAAACTGCGATTGAAAGTTTGAACCGAAATGACAAATCAGAGTGGCTATCTACAAACCAAAGAATGGGCTGGTAATATTCCTCATACATTTCTGTACTTGCCCATGTAAGTTCCATGCGAAAGCGATGATCCGTTCTCCAGTTATCCTAGGTAAGGTACACGGAAGTGCGGGATAGCCCGACGCAGGGGGTTTTCTTTGACCCACCCACCACAATAATTAAAGAAAGAAAAAGCACTACTTGTGACTCGTGTCTACCGTGTCTGACTGTACACTTAGACGAAAGGGGGACCGACTCCGGTATTGCAGCGGTAGCGGCTGACCACCTTGCGACCGAGAGTCTGAGAGCATCGTTATATCACCCAAAACGCTGCGGCCGAAATTTTGAGCCTGAATTCCTCAGCAAATGCCTGATAGGCAGCCAGGTAGGCAACACCTCTTGAACGTGACATTTTATATTACTAACGTCCCTCCTCACCGGCCAGCCCGAACCCCGAACCTGTCCCCTACGCCTACACGGACTCCGAGGGCGAGTCGAAACAAATGGTTAAAGTAGTTGAAGTCTCCGCTCGGTTCTACTCTTTGCCGCGACGCGCCGGACGCGCAGCGGGCGAGCCTCGAGATAGGATACTGTTGCACGGCCCCGCGCCACCCGACCGCAGTTAGGATACTTTCATTTTGTTCAAATTGCCTCATTTCTCGATTTTTAACAAGAAAAATTATAAAATGAAAAAGACGCGTCGTGTTAAAATCTATAAGAAGGTATCTTCAACTCAAAACACCCAAAAAAGGCACATAGGATGGTCTTGCGGCATACCGAAACAGATAGGATGGTCTTGAGGCTGAGCGAAACAGATAGGATGGTCTTGCGGCTGAGCGAAACAGATAGGATGTTGTTGCACGGACACGACGAGGTGTAAGAACTATTTCGCAAGTGATTTCCCCCTCGCATGTATCACACTTAAAAGTAAGTTAGTACCACTCTGCAGTTTTGGAAATCGAAATCGGCCACGACTTGAAAACTCTTTCCCTCACCGACACACTTTGCGCTGCCCATCCCGTCCGGCCGCAAACGCCTGCGGATAGGCGGATCGGCAACCCGGCACACTCCAGCGTGGCGCAGACGGGTCTGAGCGCCGGCCGCAGGCGCTTACACGCTGCTGATCCAGGAGGGTGGTGGTGGGACGAGATGGCAAACACCTCTCGCACACACACGCACGCACACACACACACACACACACACACATCCATCAATCCACCACACCGAGATCCACACCCCCTTTGTCCCACAGAAGCGCCATACGCAAGCTCTGCCCGTGGCCGCTGCTGTTGCTGTCACTCCGGGATAGGACGGACTACAGCTGCCAACCCTTGCGAAAGGCGTCATGCATATTCCTATTTCCGTGTGCGGAGTCGGAAGCGCGTACCATACCATATACTCGCGTCGCCACAGGGAAAATAAGAGGGGCGCCACTTTGCACCCTTTATTTTGCGCTCTTAAAATTTTCCATAGTGGATGTTTGCAAAGTTGCGATTCTAAATCTTCGACGACCAAAAAACTTGTCTGATGTGAATCTACACTCCAGGATTGAAATCGTTGATTTTTTTTCGTAAGTTTCACCCCCCAAATAATACAGTTTGAGACTAAGAACGGGATTTTTTTCGTCAGCGTAATGACACGGAGGCAGAGGGAGTTGGCGCGCGGGCGATAGCAGGCAGCAGGCTGGTAATGCAAGTCGGCTCAGAGAACACCACGCGGCGGCCCGGCCGGCCCCCTCGCAGAGCGGCTTGCCCCTCCCGCCTGACATGATGCTCCTCTCCCTCGGACCGATACGAAGCGGGATGGGAGGGGAGGGGAGGGGAGGGAAGGGGGGGCAGGGCGTCCAGCTCAAGGCGCGGGCAGGCGAGGCCATCTGCGGTCTTGTCTGGAGAAGGGGGCCTCCTATCCGGCTCCTCCTGACACTGACGGGAGCCGTGGCCCGCCCCAGGGCAGTGGCTGCGGAGCCCTGAGGGCTGCAAGCTACTAGTAGTAGCGCACTGCTGACTGACCACCACCACCACCACCAACGGCGCGGCTTGGCCTAGTTTGTCCTTCCCCCGAGGACTAGCCCCGCTCCAGGCCCTATGCTGCTGCAGCTGCTGCACGACGAGCGGGTAAGCTGCTCCGGGGCTGCAGGCGGGCAGGCGACAATGACTGACCAGCACCACCACGAGGAGGAGGGCCCCGAGGACGCCCCGAGGAGACAATACAGATGCATCAAGGAGCTTCTGCGGCCGGGACAGGGCCCCGCCGAGCCCGAGCCCTAGGGGCCTCCTGTTCCGTATTGTCGGAGCAGGCCACACACTGATAAACTGAGGGTGCAACTGTTCAACACTCGAGAGTGTGCGACTGTCAGTTTTGAATACCTGCAAGTAATTGGAGTAATACACTCGCAAGTGTGCAACATTTCTGTAGGGAACTTCTTACACAGTGACCGTCTAATCTAGGGAGGTGTTGAACTGCACACTACTTGCAAGTTAACTACCGAGTTGAACATACTTGCAAGAATTCAACTTGCAGTTGCACGCTTGGTTTATCCGTGCGGTGCACCAGAAATATATCCGTAAGGGTTATGCAAATTTCATATCGTTAAATAACAAATTCAAATTTTGAAAATAGCAATTTCTTATTTTTTTAAAATTTTCTTTCAATTTTCTTTTTCGCACAAAAATTTCAATGAAGCGGTTGGCCTTGGCCCTGCACTGCTAGCCGTGTTTGGCTGCCGCGCCTGCTGCTCCGACTGGCTGCGCTAAAGGAGCTCGGGCTTCCCTTCTTATGGAGCTGGTGGTGCTGGCCCTGCACTAACTAGCCGTGTTGACTGCCGCGGCTGCTGCTCCGACTGGCGGCGCTAAAGGAGCTCGGGCTTCCCCTCTTGGAGCTGGTGGTGCTGTCCCTGGTGGTCTGGGAGCGCGCGCCGCTGCCGCGTGAGGTGAAGGAGCCCGAAGGCACGCGCACCATGTTGCCCCGGCCGCCGAAGCAGCCCGTCAGACACGGCGCGCCCACCTGGATAGTGCGGAGAACACGTTGTGCAACTAGCTAAGTCCACGCCCACAAATGTGTGCTAAAGGTGTACTGACTGAGGTTTCCTTGAAACTAGGGAATTTCCTTGAAATCAGCCTACTTGAATCAACGAAATTGACCTAAAATAAACATAAAGAAAATTTTTCCTTTCTATCTAAGGGAAAATTTTCCCTAGTTTGAAGAAAAGTCTTTCACCCTAGGAAATTTTGTCGTTAGACCGTAAAAAATTCTGTATAGGACATGAGCAAAATTTTCATATGTTTTTTCAAGGAAACGATTTTCTGGGTGTATATTTCCTTATTCCCTTCCAAGAATCAAACGTTTGTCTACATCTGCTCCCGACGTTGCATCGCAGCACACAATTAGACTATTGTTGCCTCTCCACACTATCTGAAAATCAGTCGTATAGGTTTACGGTCGAATTTTTCATATGTTGTGTGTCGTAAAATTACAATTTAAAATTGTGAATTTACAAGCACTTTTTAAATTGACTTGGAATAGATCGGCAAGGAAAATTCTATAGGCTGTCGCAAATTTACAATATACATTTAGAAAAAAAAAATAAAAAAAAATTACAACACAAATGTTATGAATTTACGAGAACATTTTTTAACAGTATGATCCGTTGACTTACCGCGGCGCAGACAATGAAGCACAGGAAAGCGAGGAGCACGAGAAGGTGTCTCATGTTTGTGACCAGGTCTGGGTGCGGCACGGCTGTCGAAGATCAGGAGCAGGCTGACGATTCCGAAGCCCACGTCCGGGCCTTAAATACCCACAGCTAGCAGTAGCCGCGCGCGTGGCTAGGGCCGTCGGCATGCTCGTGAGCCAGAAGTAAATTTTATGGTCTGATAAAAAAGACTACCGCTTTGGCCGCCTAATGGGCAATATTTACGTGGAAATCGTGTGCGCAAAAGCCAACCAATGAAGATGTTAATCAGAGCACGTGTTGTCTAGACGAAGCTTCGTCGGGAACTCTCTTTGCACACACTGCAATAATATATTATGAAAGTCAAATATGTTAGTTTTCGTAAAGAAAAGACGAAACACGCCAGAAACGGATCGCGATGAGTGCGCCGGACCTTGTGTGAAGACGTTTGTCAAGACATGTTTGTGAATAACACCTTGCGAACACCCCCTCGCTGCTCGCCCTCCGCCCCTGCGCAGCTCGACGCCTGGCCCTGCCACGGTGCGGCGAGCACGTCAAAGCCGTCCCTTTAGGAGGCGCTGAAGGGTGCTGGCCAGGCTACGAGGCTCTGGATCTGCCCTTCCTTTGCCGTGGCGCCCCGTCCGCGACAGGCGAGAGGCGAGAGGGTGTCACAAACACCGGGACAATGCGCGCCTTCAAAGGAACAATAAGAAGCGCGGAAAGTAATTCCCTGCAAATGGTTCTCTTCCTCCTCCCCACCCTTTCCATTCCGTCTCCTTCAATTCAGAGCTTAAGGTTACATGGTTACATAATGTATTATTGCATAACCTTTCGGTTCGTCGTTTACTTTGCGTCTGTTGTTCTTTATACACTGGCAAAACGAGTGTGCGAATGAGCGAAATATAAGCATCCCACCAAAGCTCCAGAAATTAACTTCGTTGGTCTCCTTTAAGAAGATAAATACGAACGTCTCACCCTCTTTCTTCCACTTATACCTCCCTATCACAAAACTATTATCCCCTATTCTTTAACACGGCCTTGACTCCGAATGCGACTAACCTTCTGAAAAGGGGTGGTCGTGGTGGGGGACGGTCGATTGCGGACATCTCTGGGTCCAGAGGGTCAGAACGGTCGATTGCGGACAAATCCTTTTTGACAGGGGATTACCGGGTCCCGAG